AATATAAAATCTTGTAATAGCATTTAATGACGAGGAGGACAATGAGGAGGATGGGGACGAGGGTGAGGGTGAGAGAGAAGGAGAAGATATGTATACTCCATTTGTAGTAGTTGTGGTATTTGTTGGTGTTGATGATGGAGGTGCAACATAAGTGAATGAATTCATCATTATTCTCGATCGATGTGATGATGATAATCCATTTGATGAACGTCTAATTGGTGATGCTTTTAAAGACATTTTTTTTTTTTTACTTTTGCAGATAAATAAAATAACCTTTTTTTTTGCTTTTTTTTTAATTATATTAAAGGATAGTTAATAATCATTAAAATTTTGTAAAAAAAAAAATTTCAAGATTATTTATTTGAAAAAATGATAATTAATTAATTTGTATTATTTATTTATGCATAAAAAAAAAGACAGGGAAAACTCGAAAATATATTTTTTTTTGCAAATTTTTGAAATTTTTATTAACGATTGACAAGGTTCTTTACCAAATATGCATTGTTTATATTTTCCGCCTCCTGAAATGTTTGTCGAAGATCAACAATGAGAATTTTTCTATTTCCCCCCACATTCTTCTAATAATTGTGACTGATGATGTTTTGTTTATTTAGATAAGCCATTACGTAAATAAATACTTAACATTAATGATCCAAGAAGAGGAAAGCAGAAATTGAAGGAACAATCGATCATTTTGAAGTTTTTTGCGTCAAAGAGGATAGTTGCTTATAATGGTATACATGAGTTCATTTTTCGGTAATGAAGCTAGACACAAAGGATATTATTATTATTGCCAATACCATAAATATTTTTGATTATTTAATTAACTTGCACCACATTTAAATCGATCGACAAATACACAAACAATTTTGGTTAAAAAAAAATTTTAGAAACAAAAAAAGTGATGATAATACCGTACAGTCGTGGCTTTTAATTCATTCAATATCCTTCATATATAAGATAATTAGTTCAAAAATTTGTATCGGATAAATAGTTTTAAAATTTTTTCTTTTGTTGGGTTATTGCTTAGTGTCTTTTTCTTTTGTATATCTACACTTTCAGAATTTTTTAATTTATTAGTCCACGTCCTGATATTTCTTGGATAAATTTCTTTTCTAAAGGAGCACAAAAGTTGCATTTACAATGCTGAAACATTCTCTTGCGGTGAGTCGAAAGAAAGAATGCTGCAAGATTCCCAGTATCAGATTTCCTTAATATAGTCTTTCAAAAGCTCCCCATTTCAGCTCAATTTCGTTAGGGATTGTTTTTTAGGCTTAATAATTGGCCCTTGGATTAAATCATCTTTTGGGCCAGCTAATTTAAACAACAAGTTTACCATTTTCAGCTACTAAGCCATTTGGTACTTGCAACTTTCTTTGGTATTCTATTCCTCTGGGATAGATTTTAAGTCTTTTCTTTGATCAATTGATATTTTATTTTTTTTGTGAATTAATTATCTGCAAAACTTTTTTCCTATTATTAATATACTTCCTAAATGATATATACATGGGATTATAAAATATAATATTAATATGAAACTACATAAATTACGCTAAACCAAATCGAATCAAACCGGATTTTTAAACTTTGAATTTTCAGAATAAAGTAAAATTTGCGAATCTTGAGCGAGATTCTTCGAAATAAAGAATTTTCATTGGGTTAATATATTTATATGTATTAGATATCGAATCGAATCGAAACAAATCAAATCACGATTCGTGTCTGATTCGATCAAAAATACATCAGAAGAAAGAAATTATCGAGGGACACATTTATGTTCAGACAAAATAACAAGCAAGTTTTCCAAGGTGATAAACAAAACGAATAAAGAAAAATATCTTGCCATCTCGCGAAAGTTTTAAGTTGCGTCATATAGAATTGGCTCGTTTTTATTAATAACTTGAGTATTTAAAAGATTTTTATTGAAAAAGTACCACCGAGGAAGAAGTGACAGAAGAAGACTTGGAAAAAGAAAAAATAATTAAAAACATAAAAGTGCAGCAGAGAAATTAGACCTTTTTCGCATTTGCTTATTTGCAGGTCAAAGAATTCTATCAACGATTAGAGCATAATAAAAGACTAGTAAAACAAATAAATTTGAATAAACATAATAACGAAAATCTAGAATTTACCAAGGAAAAATTAAAGAGAGATCGATAAGAACATATCAAAGCAAGAGAATTTCCTTTAAAAATCATTCCCTAAAAGAAACTTTACTGTCAGTTTTTGATGAAAAGCAAAACACTGAACTATTTAATAAGGAAGTGGATCACTTCTTCGGGTCTTGTTACCCTCCGGTTGATAGTCT